CAAGCATATCAAGAAACTGAAGAAAGGGTAGAGGTTTGCAACGAGACTAGTCCTAGAGCTATGGGGTATGAGCTATGAGGAGAGATTCTGATGACATTAGAGGAAATAAGAACTATGAATGTCTTAATAATGTAAAAAATACTTAGAGGAAATGGCAGAGTGGACTGGGACAGATTGTTAGAGAGACGTAGAAAATACAGATGTGTCCCAAGGATGTTAGAAAGTGTTTCTTCAGCATTAGAATAGTCTAGAAGTGGAAGGACCTGGACGGTTGACTGGAGGAGGTAGAAACCATACATACTGTTAAGAAGAGGTACGATAAAAATCTCGATGCTAGGAGAGAGTAAACTCAGTAGTCACTAGTGAAGAGGTGGGCTCAGGTGCTAAGATTTACCTCCTGCAACTGCATTTAGGTAAATACATATAGGTACACACACACACACACACACACACACACACACACACACACACACACACACACACACACACACACACACACACACACACAAAACACACACATACACACACACAAAACAAGCACACACACACACATAAAACAAACACACCCACCCACACACACACACATAAAACAAACACACCACCCACACACACACACACACACACACACACACACACACACACACACACACACACACACATACACACAGAAATGAAACACACGCACATAAAATACACACACACACACACACACACACACACACACACACACACACAAAACAAGCACACACACACACACACACACACACACAAAACAAGCACACAACACACACACACACATAAAACAAATACACACACACACACACACATAAAACACACACACACACACGCACAAAACACACACATACAGAAATGAAACACACGCACATAAAATACACACACACACACACACACATTAAATACACACAAAACACACACACACACACATAAAACACACATACAACTAAAACACACACACACACACACACACACACACACACACATACAATGCGCGACAGACAAAATAGCACTTATCCTTGCCATTCCAATTTTGGCAGGTAATATTTCCTGTAAACCCGTGAAGTCACGTGTTTTGTGAAGTGAAGGAAGTGAACTGGAGTGAGAGAGAGGGAAGAAGTGGCAGGAAGAGTAAGGGAGAAGGGAAACAGAGAGAGACTGAGGGAGAGTGAGGCAAGAGATGAAAGATGAATAGAAAAGGGAAAAAAAATTAGTTAAAGAGAATATACTGTATTGGAAAGCAGGACGAAGGATTGGGAAGAAGAAAGGACTGGAAAATTTAGAAAGGACAGAAAAATAAGAAAAAAATGTTTGAAAGGAGGGAAAAATATTATAAAGTAGAAAGGAGTGAAAGAATGAAAGACTGAAGAAACCGGAATACGGGGGAGAATAATGAGAAAATGGGATTGGAAAGAAGGATGAAGAACCGAAATTAAGACATGAAAAAGAGAAGAGAGAAGGAGAGAAGGAGAGGGAACAGAGAATAGAAAGAAGTGAGAAAGAGTGATAAAAAATATAGTGGGAATGTGTGTGTGTGTTCTCACCTATTTGTGGTTACAGGGATGAGTCTAGCTCCTGGCCCCACCAGGAACTGTGTGTGTGTATGTACTTACCTATTTGTGGTTGAAGTGGTTGATTCATAGCTCCTGGCCCCGCCAGGTGGTGTGTGTGTGTGTGTGTGTGTGTGTGTGTGTGTGTGTGTGTGTGTGTGTGCGCGCGCGCGTATATGTGAAAGACAGACCTTAGAGGGCCTAGAACTACACACCGAGGTTATCTGCTGAAAGGTACTATCTACTTCCATCTAGCTATATAATCCTCCGGGTTTAGCGCTTCCCCCTTGATTATAATAATAATAATAATACTTCCATCTAGATTAAGAACTATTGTGTATTATTTAGAAGAAGGTCAAGCACTAAAACAGGAAGAAATGTATCATGCGATATTCAGAAAATGGGATGGTATTTACTGACGAGGTGAAAGTGGATGATGTTTTTGTCGTAACTAGTCATGCTGCTCAAGTGGCGCTCACACTTGTGTGTGTAACTAGTGGTTCCATTTCTAGTTACTAATAGTTCTACTTCTGAATACTGTGGTGCAGGGGGATCAGCATCACTGCTGTAGTTACCACAACTACCACTACTGCTCTAATTCTTCCATTATTATTAACTAGGTTGGCTCGTTGTCAATTGATCATCTTGATGTAGGTGTTAAATGAACATCGGAAATTCGTTGATTTCAGTTTGTCCCATCATAGATAGTTTCTAGTTGAATCCTGTACTGCAGTTTTCTAGCCAAGCTGGTTCTTAAATGACTGTATTTTCTTTGCGCTTTCAACTTCAGCGGGAACCTTATTCCCTTCTGCTATAATTCTGTTTTGATTTTATTTTACTTTCGATCGAGGTGCATCTCCTGTCTCGAAGTTTCATTCCACTGTTTCTAGTTATTGGCTCCTTTTGCACTTCAAAAAATTGTTCGTGTTTGTATCAAAATCTTTCAATATCTTAAATGTTCGAATGAGATCTTATGATCTCCGTTTCTCATGAGAAACAAGGTCGATTGTTTTGTGTTTTTGTTGATATGGTTTGTTCTCTGGTGATAAGAGGATGCCTGCTTTTCTTTGTACCATCTCCAGTATAGCTTCTCCTTTTATGTAATCTGGGGAACAGAACTTAATGGCATTTTTAAGATACAATCTAACAAGTGCATTCTAAAGTGTTCATATCGTATTTGATGTTTTTGTATTCGTAATTTCTAGCTACGAGACCTAGCTTAATGGATTTGCAGCCAAATTCTGTTAGAACAAGAAATTTAATCTATGCAACAAAAGTTCAGAAAGCCGAATAACTTCGATTATTTCATTCAGTGAGGTTTATACATTGCAACAAAAATTATTATAAAACAATTTCACTCATACAGAAAAGAAGAAAGAGATATTAATCCTCAGTCAAAGCTACACAAAAAGAGATTAGCCAATATTTTACCAACATAATTGTTTCTTATGACAGAACAGGCGATTGTTTCTCATTAGTAAGTTTGTTTATTTAGGTTAACACAAATACAGTTCATAGATTACTATACATAGGAGCATATGTGTAAAGAACCTGGGATAACCCAAAAGTCAGACAGTGACTTATTTCCATTGGGGCCCTGATTTCCATTGGGGTCCTTACTTATTTCCAATGGGACCCTTACTTATTTCCATTGGGGTCCTTACTTATTTCCATTGGAGTCCTTATTTCCACTGGGGTCCTTACTTATTTCCATTAGGTCCTTACTTATTTCCATTGGGGTCTTTACTTATTTCCATTGGGGTCCTTACATATGACAACACTACTGGATGAGAAACCATGACTACACCTAATTCCTTGCCAAGTTTGTGACCTAGTCTGCTTAGGGGAGACAGGACGTCAACTTCCAACTAGTACTATAGAACACAAATGATCTGAGAAAAACAAACAGAAGAGAGCAGCCTTGTCTCAGTAACCTCAAAAGATCACTAACACAACATTAACAGACACACATGTATACTATTAGATCTATCAGAAGGTATCCAGAAATGAGGCTGAAAAAGTCAAGTAGAATACAATGTCAAAACTTTGGAGGGAAAATGGATTCCTGAAGAGATTTAGAAGTTTGTGAATAAAGAAAACTATTGCAGCTCCTGACTTAAGATTACAACAACTTAATCACATACTGGTGACTACTGGATCACATACTGTTGACTACTGGATCGCATACTGGTGACTACTGGATCACATACTGGTGACTACTAGATCACATACTAGTGACTAGATCACATACTGGTATCTACTGGATCACTTACTGGTGTCTACTTGATCACATACTGGTGACTACTGGATCACATACTGATGACTAGTGGATCACATACTGATGACTACTGGATAACATACTGGTTACTACTGGATTATTACTTGGGTCTACTGGATCACTTACTGGTGATTAATGGATCACACACTGGTAACTACCACCTCACACACCTGTAACTACCACCTCACACAATGGTAACTACCACCTCACACAATGGTAACTACCACCTCACACACTGGTAACTACCACCTCACACACTGGTAAGTACCACCTCACACAATGGTAACTACCACCTCACACACTGGTAACTCACTCACACCTGGTAATACACTCACACAATGGTAACTACCACCTCACACAATGGTAACTACCACCTCACACAATGGTAACTACCACCTCACACACTGGTAACTACCACCTCACACACACACTGGTATTACAACCCAGGAGTCCCAAAGACCTGTTATCCTGGGTGTAAAGGAAGCAAAATAAACTGCAGAAAACTTTTGACTTGTATTATCCTTCACCAAATTTAGAACAGATGTACACTACACTATTACAACAATAGGTATTAGTGCACTCCACGGTCAGCAAGGCAGAATAGAAGCCACTAGAGAGCAGACCGTGCTTCAACCAGCTCTAGAATGGGAATGACAAGGGTAGACAGGTGAGTGATACCCACAACACCTCTGCGATTGCCAAAACCATCTTCTCATAGGCTGTAACCTGGGTACTGATTGAACGACGGGGCCCCATCGTCAGCCCTTAGTACCTGGTTCGCTGGTTGGGGGAGGTAGCCTTTCAATGAGGGTGTGTACATGCGCCGAAGATTACGTACTCTTTGCATGCCACAACTGGTAAATAGCATCTCACACACTGGTAACTACCACCTCACAATTACATCTTGCTCAACCGGCAGTAAGAACAAGACAACAGAGAACCACTTCTCTGAGGCCTATGCTAGACACAGCCTCAGCCTACCTGGCGTTCAGTTATTCCACTTATTATATTGTGTCCTTTTCCCTCTTTACAAACTTGCCCGCTACATAAACCCAAACTTTTCATTTTGTTGTACCACTGAACAAGATTTTGGTATCTTGTACCATATCGTACAAGATACCAACCAGACGTGAACAAATCCCCTTTTTCCCCTGCAGGCCATGTGGGCGGGGTCACGGGTGGCTGCGTGGGCGGCGGTGTGGGTGAGCATGGGTGTGCGGGCGTGCCTGGGGGCGTGCACCATGGCTGAGTTCCCCTGCAGAAACAAGCAGTGTGTTAGCCTCGACCTCTACTGTGACGGCCACCCAGACTGTGAAGACGCCAGTGACGAGCCCAACGCTTGCTCTCGTGAGTACTGTGTACTGTTTTGTGTACTGTGTATCGTGTGTTGCGTATTGTGTACTGTGTATTGCGTATTGTGTATTGTGTTTTGTGTATTCTGTACCGTGTATTGTGTATTGTTTTGTGTTCTGTGTATCGTGTACTGTGTATTGTGTACTGTGTATCGTGTATAGTGTTATGAAGTGTGTATTATATATTGAGTAACCACACACACACACAAACACACACACACACACACACACACACACACACACACACACACACACACACACACAACCATAGTAAAATGTAGCATTATTCGAGGTGCTTTAGCGATAATTAAGGGGTCACCACTGGAAGTTCGAAACTCAGATGAGTCACAGGGATGTTAAGAAGTATTTCTTCAATCATAGAGTTGTCAGGAAGTGGAAATCTGCAGAGTAATGTATCATAACTAATAACTCAATTTACCTCGTATACCAGAGATGTGACCTCATATATATTGTCAGTGGGATACATGTTACCTCACTGAGCGTGGGCAGTACATCTCCATTGTTCTGAATTAAGAAATACAAAAAATATGATATTGTTGATCTTTACTCTCTATTTACAAGTTTAAAAAAATCATAGTATTTAAAGAGTTTGATGTAATGAAAAACTATTTGATAAATAATTCCCCCAAAATGTTGATAGGTGTGTTTACAAGGTCCTTTGATTAAATGCAATAAATTTTTTTTGGAAAAACCGGGAAGGGTCGTGAAGTAAGATTACATCAATATAAATGTAGCATTAAAATTGTGCAAGAGTTTAATGTTCTATTTATTCATGAAATAGTTTATCATCCCCACCATCCAATGTTTTGTTAAAATCTGAGTAATTTGTAAAGAGCAAACTAATGGTTAAACGAAATATAGTGAAATCAAGTTTTATATATAAATAGAACTGATTACAATTGAAATATAAGTCCAGGATTGTATAAACCAGATTCTCTCATTCTACATCAAATTGGTGAGGATTATAAGTTATGCTGACGAAGAAATTCACCTTTACCAGTTACTCTTAACATGATTAAAATTTTGAGGAATTTGCCTAATATACCATGCTTTTCTAACTTTAAAAATCAAAACATTAGAGATGTCCTGCTCTCACTGAAGCAGCAACCAACTCGCTGCCAGAGGTTTGAGGTCACAGTTTTACTTATATTATTTCTTGATAATGTGAGAGATCATGAAAGGGCTCTGAATGATATTACTTTCACGGTAGTTATATTGTATATCTGTCTCTTGCAATATTATTGCAAATATGTAAATATATATACCATATCTCCTGACAAATAAGGAATACAAGCCTAAAAGATGCGCCCCAATTTTGACAGGTACTTTCTAGGAAAACTAAAAACTTGCAGAGTTTGCTTCCAAACGATAGTGAGACAGTGAGAGGCTGCTTTTTGTGTACAATGTTGCTGAAAAAGGTGAAGCCTTGCACAGCCTGTCGTCTGCCCCACCTCCATGAAATACCAAAACAAATATGGCTGTTGTATAGAGACTGCCTTTCAGTTATTTCCAGCTGCTGAAGCTGGCTTGCTTATTATGTACAAGCAAATTTTAATTTATAATAGTTACTAATCACTCTTAAGTAATCTGGGAAACACTTATGTAGGGAAGGGTGCTAGTTGGCCGGTGCTGTAGCAATGTAACCTACACTTGATAGTAACCCAAAGCTTACCCTTGTGCCTAACCTTGAGTGTACAAGTGGCAGGGTGATTTTCTAAGATTTTTTTGAGAGAAAAAAAAACGTGCATTACATGCCAACAATACGGTAATAAACACACACACACACACACACATTATATATATATATATATATATATATATTATATATATATATATATATATATATATATATATATATATATTTATATTATTGTAACCACGAACGAGTGGTATTGATCAATAGCAACACTGCGACTAGCCAAGGACTCGAACCCATGTTGTTTTGGCCCGCCTCATTGTGAGCGAAAACATATGACACTAACCCACAGGACCACGCAATCCTACAGGACTGCGTGGTCCTGTGTGTTACACACACACACACACACACACACACACACACACACACACACACACACACACACACACACACACACACATATATATATACACACAGGGTATCATATAGGGAGAGCCTTGGTCAGGGTAAATCCCAAAATTCTAATGTCTAGTCACCCCTTCTTTAGTCATTCCTTATGGCTCAATCCATGTATCTCTATTGCTAGTGCAATAGAGATACATGACACGAGGCCACAGCTGGAAGCTGAAACCACAGACGAGTACCTTTAGTGTCAGGAAATTTTAGTTATAAAATTGACAGGAGATGTAAGTACCTAGGCACCGAAGTGATAGAGGCAGGATCAATATTAAGCTTAATGATTAGGTATGATAGGGCTCACGATGCCAGGAGAGTGTGAACCCAATAGCAGTGACCCTTGAAGTCATAAATATCCGAGTATAAATGGATGAGTACATAAGTCGTGTATTGGGCTGTGAATGACTTTTTTGAGATTTTTAAAAAAATAGAGTTTGATTTGCCAAACGAGAATTCACTTCAAAGGTAATTCGGTTTGTGTGTTCCTCTGGCGATATTCAGTAGACCACCTCCTATTACGCGCCCAGATCCTGTGTTTCCATCACATTTTGCGTCCTATTTCCATATATTGCTGTAAATGTCAGCTATCGCACTAGAGCAGGCAGTATATATACCTTCCCACGCTCCTCGGGCCTCTACTGTTTTATGCTAAATCCAGCATCCACTCTGCTTCAGTGTTGTTGCACCCTCCTCCAACCACGCTGCCAGCTGCTTCGTGGACTTGTATCATACCAACCCCACAGCACCGTCTCCCCTGCTGTCCAACCTAACAAGCATAAACAAATAGTGATTCCCAAACTTTTTCAGGCTGCCGCCTCCTTGGCTCCCAGGCCAGATTTCTAACGCCCCCTTCCCCACACGCACATGCGAACACACCTCTTTCTTGGTAATAGGTTTACTGCAAATTCAAAACAACAACTAATCTAACTATAAACCAGTGTATTTCACAAATAAAAATTAACATTGTAAACCAATTTACTTAACAATATGAACGGGTAAATTTGCATCTCATTTGTAACTACTACCTTAACAATTTTAGTGAGATGGATGTGTCTGGTGCAGGAACATCAGCTTCTAAACATCAGGTTTAGATCCCCCGATGAAGTCTTGGATCCCCGTGCACAGTAATTTTCAGTCTGTTTTCGCGGAAAGAAGCTTGGCGACTGCACTGAAGCCTCGCTCTACTAAATATGATTGTTGGAAAGAAAATAAAGAACATCTTGATTTTTTTCTACAGTGCAGGGTAACGGTCAGGTTTTTTTTTTTTTTTTTTTTTTTTTTTTGCAACCAAAAGTCTTGATATGATTTTTTGAACTTTGGCTTCAGCTCAGTGTCATTTTGGAGTGAAATCAGTTCTTCCTCCACCAATCCTATTTCCTCATTGCTGATATCAAGGAATGGGTTAATCACCCAGTCTGGTATTTTAAGCAAAAAAAAATCCTGAGATTTGTCAGACATGTCTCTATGCAGCTCCTTCAGGTGTGCACAGTCACTTGAAGGGCATCGTCTGGTATGCTCTTCTCCAATTCAGAGAGGCTTGGAAACTGAAAGAGCTCACGACGGGATATGTTACATTTGAGTAACTGTAACCTGGGCAGAAAAGTGGAAAGGTTGATTTGACTTTGATAAAATTAACCTCATTTCCTTGCAACTGCAAAGTAACTTCGCTGAACTTTGTGACTACATCTGGCAAATAAGCAATGTCATGCTTGATGTTTCTTAGCTCACACAGAGCAGAAATGGAGACTTGGAGGAATTCAATAACTGTTTTAAAGAGTGAATAGAAACGTCTCAGGAAGTTTCACTTTCACAGTCAAATAAGTCCAAAACGTTCAAAATCTTCTTCATTCTCAGTTCAGAGCTGTTGAGACAGTCAGGAATTGAGAGCATGTGTCTTGATTTTATTTACAACTATAAAAACAGTGCTTGATGATTTGTGAAGTCGACCACTTAAGTGTTTTGCAACCAGAGGTTGCCTGTGGATTGCACAGTGCACCGTAAACACACCAAGTACAGCTTTTTTCAAGAAACTGATGAAGCCACGCTGACAACCTGTCATCGATAGTGCTCCATCTGTTGCATAAGCAAGAATGTTGGTAAGCGGGATGTCTTTCTCTGTGAAAAAATTCTCAAGAGCACGAAATACTGACTCGTCTTTTGTATGTTTCTAGTTGTCTTGTAAATAACAGCTCTTGAACCAAACTTTCAACTCTGACGAAACGAACATAAGCAAGAAGCAAAGATTTGTTGCCTGGCAGAGTGACTCGTCTAATTGTAAGCCAAAATCTGTTATCTTAAGCATGTTACACAATGTCTTCACTGTTTTCAGCCATTTCATCCACTCTTCTTTGAACAAAGTCATCATTGAGAGGAATAACTTTAATAATTTGTTCACATGACTTGTGTAAAACTGTGCTGAGAACCTCACGTACTGTTGGTAGAATAGGCTCTTCCCCAATTGTGTGAGGCTTACCAGATCTAGCAATCAGCAATGAAATATTGTTTGATGCACAGAAACCATCACTTGATTGTTTAGAAATGCTAGCAAGCATATTTCTAATGATTTTCCATTTCTGTAAGTTTTCTCGAAATGGTTGAAAATATGCTAAATTCTCGCCTGCTTTATCAGAGATTATTTTCTTCAAATGTTCAAGAAGCCTGGAAGGTTTCATGGCTTCATTTGAAAAGACACACAGTAAGCACATTGGTTGGTGTTAGTTATTTGGTGCTGATACAAATCAAGATTTCAGGTGTTCCACATTATATTGCCCACACGTCTTTATTTATTTTTTTTTTGTCTTCTGTGCTGCGGCCATATTCTATTCTGGAACAAAAAATATATGTTCTTTGTAAAAATCATGCCAATCATAATATAATGCAGC